AAAAAAAAAATAATAAAAAAACAAAAATATAAGTAGCATAACACAGAAATCCCAATTTTCTTTTCTTAGATGGCTATCAAAATTTATTATAAGGCATACTAACATACATACATAAGGTAACTAAAACTGATAGTTTTTTAGTCAGGATTTGCATGTAACCTGGTGTTTTTAAAGTAAAGTTCATTGGTTAATAACTAGAAATTTAAATAATACAAGTTAAATTCTTAATTTGATCATTTTTAAAAAAGAAGCAACTTGCATTACAAGTTGAGAATGGCATAAAATATTAAATAGAAGAAGAGATGGATGGATAAGTACCAATTTTTTGGTATCAGTTACAAACTGATACAACTAAATATCAATTACAAAAACCTAATATTTAAGTATTAAATATGTCACAGTTCTTCCTAGGAAAAAAAAAAGGGAAGGGTGCTTCCTGACTGAATAGGGCACTTACATAATTTATCAAAATGTGTAATATAAATTATGTAAAAACTGAATTTGATCTTCAACAATTTAAATTATCCTCTTGTAAATTATATGTGCATATTTTAAAAAGTAATTCTCATTCATAATAAAATGAGAAAAAATGTATAGTTAATATTTTTTATTAAAAAATAATTAAAGGCATGCTAAAAGACAATCTCTGTGTATAAATTTTTTTTCTCCAAAAAAAGTAAACTAAAAAAAAATAAATTATTAATTGATGAACAACTTGAAAGCTTTTTTCTACAATTTAAACTGAAAATTATAAGAAAATGAACATTTAAAGGTGCATCTTTTTTTTAAAAAAAAGGTAATAAAAAAATAATTTTAAAATCACTTAAAAATTTCAGAGACAAAGCAAATATTTGTAACAGTAATCAGAATTAAACCTATAAACACAGAAACAAATTTTGAACATAGTACTATAACTCTTTTCTCTAAAAATATTTCAATTAAAAAACAAAACAAATTTGAAATTATCTTTGAATAAACAGTTTTCAATTGCATATATTAAAATGTTTTATTACACTTAAACAGTTTCAAAGATTTGATAAAATATGTGACTCCTTTATTTAGCAACTATTTTTCAATTTATTAAGACTGCATCTTGATGTGAAAATCTGATGAACAAATCAAATGTCATTTGGGGCATTTCATTTATTTACGTAGTGCATGCATATATATATATATATATACATATATATGCACAAAGTGAAACCCTCTGTTATGGACACTGTATATATATATATATATATGAATACATATAGGTTTTGCTGTATATATAATATACACACACACACTCAAGAAATGTTTAAAGAAAAATTTTGGCAAATGGTATTACTCATTATTTACCTTCTCAGATTAAATGCACTCTTTTGTACTCTTTATTTTTGCTTTTGACTCAACATTTTGCTATTAACAGATAATATTTTTTTTTACTTTGAAGCTCATTTTGAGTTATTGATACTAAAATGACAGTTTTTTTTTTATCCTGATTGTTCTGTAGTAGATGTAATCACCAATTCATTTATTATATCTTTTATCTCCATTAAGTGATAGCATTGAACAAAGCAGAGTCTAATAGCCGATGTCAAAGAACTGTGAAACAATGTAGCAGATGAAAGATTTCCTTCTTTCTTCTGAGGAAAGGGTTTCACTAATTGTGTTATGTACTTAATATTGTCATAATTTAAATAATATTTATATGGTAATAATTTATAAAATATATTTTTCCTGATAACTGACCCAGGTGTAGTATTAATAGCTTAAAATTGTATGTTGCATTTTACCAACACCCTCATATATTGTGCACATATTAGCAGAGACTTTGCTCCATTTTTTTTGAAAATAAAGAACCACTATTCAATTTTATTTTAGTACTTTCATAAATTTTTGATTCAGTTTTCTGTTAAAACATTTAAAACTATGTTTTTTAATTATTTTCACATCATTTCTACTTTTACTTTAAGGCATAACCTTTTTGCAAAACTTTTGTTTTCAGGCTATACAACAAGCAACAGATGTCGATCTTTGTTCAGAACATTCTCAAATGATTGAAAATAAGAACAAAAATCGATATGTGAACATAGTTGCATGTAAGTTGAAAATTTAAAAGAATTTTCCTTCTATTATAATACAGATCCTTATTACTTTTTTAAAATAATATATCTGCTTGAATGTTATATTTACGTTACATCTGTTTCTTATATTTAAAATTTATTTTTTAAATGTGAAGTTCTTTCACTTTTTGCTTAAATTTTGAAACATTTACCATTGTGTTTTTGGTTATTTAGAGCTTTTTCTGAGTTAAGCAGGGAACTTATAACTTATTAAAAACTATTAAGCTTCAGCTTAATAGTTTTGAATAAGTTATAGTTTTTAATAAGTTAAGTAGGAAGCCTAAAAGTTTAAAAATTAGCAGTTATAGCTTTTAGAAGAGTTGCAAAACATTTTTAAATTATTGCTACTTTTTTATTATCAGTTACAAAGTGTAGAGCAGTGGGCTGATTGATTTCAAAATTATAAATCTTTGAAACAAAGGATGCTAAAAAATTAAACAAATGGTTTGTGTATTGTGAAAGCTGTAAAAATTTCATACAGAAATTTTAAAATTTAGTTACAAATGTTGTTATCAGATGGTGGTGTATGCTATGCAGAGTTCTTTAAAAGAATACAATTGTCACTGGCAGAACTAATCACTCTGGCTATCGATGGTTTACATTGCCTCAAAAATTCTGTATATAATTTTTTATAGCTTTCAGTAGTTTCAAAGGAGGAATGAAGCATACCATTTGTTTCATTCCTCCTTTGTTTCTAGGATTTCTAATTTTGAAATCAGCTCGTTCTGTACTCTACAGCCTGTAGTTCAAATGCAGGGCTAGATTGTAAACTCTTTCACATGATTATTTACTGAAAATAAAAATTTATTTAATAAATAGTTAGTAAGGAGAAGAAAAGCACAAGTGTAATGAATGAGTTGAAAAATTTAAATAGTTTAATTTTATTTTTAAATATATAAGTTTAAGAGCTTTTAAATAATACCAACTTACCAGCAGTTGCCAGTATTCATATAAATTTACCATTTACACAAATTATCTATGCATTAAATGTTCATTTAACAATATAAATGTTTTTTTTTTTGTGTTCTGAAAGTATTGTATAAATGTTACAAGCTTTTAAATTGCATAACAAAAGAAATATAAATTAAAGAAATTGGAAATAATTTTTAATTTATATTTTATGTTATATTTATAATGTTATCAATGACCTACAGGAGAATGCAGTTGAAAAAAATGGTAATGACTAAATTCTAAATTCTTTTTTAACACTTAATATGTTTAAACTATTTTTTTCTGTAATTTGTTGCTTGGATGATTTTAAATTTTGTTTCAAATTCAATTGATTTGTCAGTTATTTGAAACAGCTATTAAATTAGCAAAATCTTCCCTTCTCCGCTTTAAAAAAAAAAAAAAAAAAAAAAAANACTTAATTTGTTGCTTGGATGATTTTAAATTTTGTTCCAAATTCAATTGATTTGTCAGTTATTTGAAACAGCTATATAAATTAGCAAAATCTTCCCTTCCCCGCTTTTTTTTTTTTAAAAAGAAAGCTTTGATAAGTCAGAATCCTAAAGTAATTTCTTTTATACCTTTTCTGGAAGAAACATTGTTATCAATTTAAAGTAATATTTATGAACAGGTCTTTTCAATTTAGCATTTTTAAATAATCAAATAATAATTATAATAACTCATAAAAAAGTAGAATGCTTTGCTTTCTGGATTCTACCAATGTCTCTCAATGCAGAACATGTATAAAAGGGAAAATTCTATATGTATTTGAACAGATCCTTAACAATGAAAGTTGTTATAGGAAATGTATGTTTATATGTCTAATAATTTTAATTTGAACATATCATGCTACAAATTTTTGAAAAAAAATAATTTGAGAATTAACTCTTTATTTTTATTTTTAGATGATCATTCTAGAGTAATTTTGAAGCAGTCTGCTGGACAACGAAAAATGCATGATTATATCAATGCCAATTATATTGATGTATGTAGTACTAAAAACAAAATTGCATTTTAAATTTTCTTACTTAATTTGTCTACTAATGAATTTAATTTAAAAAAATGTTAATTTGCAATTGGTGGACGTCTTATTACTAGGCACCAGGCTGATTGGAAAAGTCACCAGTGTTTTCTAAACAGCCTCCTTTTTAGACTTATTGTAGTAAGCCCACATAGATTTAGAATGATTCAAAAAAGTAATAATTTTTTAAATATTGTACAATAACCCTGGCTTATTTCAAGTCATTCGCAATAAGGGCAGAATAATGTAAGCTTAATTTATATAGTATTAATTGTCATGAATTTTGCTAGAAATTTATTTCAATTAGCTGTGTGCTGTAAAGATTTATTAAAAAGATATATAACTTATTTCTGCTTATCGAACAAAGCTTTTTAACAGTTGGTTTATTCACATAAGCAAATATGTATTATTGGTAGTATCGTAAAATACTGATTAAGCTCCCCTTAAATTTTGATGGAAAACTCTAGTTTTTGTGCGAGGGGCTTAGTCATGCAAATCACGTTTAAAATGATTAAAATTATATTGTGATATTTAAAAATTTTTAATTTTATATAATGTCAATTTATTTGCAGAAGTTACATTGATAAATGCTTTTGATAACTTAAATAAATCAAATGAAAAATTAATTAATTAATAAGTTTACTATCAAATATGCCACTTTAAATTAAACTCTTTCTAAAATTCAGTTTTAAAAGAAAGGTTAAAAATAAAAACATGCTGTAGAAAAAACAGGATATTCTTCATTTCCAGTGAGTTAAAAAAGGTTTTCATTTACAAAAAGAAGTCTAAAGTTAAATTATTTAAAAAAATCGTATTACATAAAAAAACCAATAGAATTATGTGAAATATGATAATCAGTTTATTCTATTTCTTTCTTCCACCATATTAAATATGTCTATCTATTTGTTACTGTTTGTCTAATTTCATAGTTGCCTTAAACAGGGTTGCCACTCCACAGGGAGAACATGGAAAACCTGGAGAATACAGGGAATTTAAAAATCACCTAAAATAGCAGGGGAATTTGAGTTTTTCTTTACAAACTGGGAAAATACAGGGAGATTTATTTCTTACTTTTCTCTTTTAAAAAATAGTGGCCACTCTAAGCGCAATCTATGGGATATTTAAGAATGATATTAAGAATGATATTTCTTAACTGTTTAATTTACTAAAGCATTATTTGTTTTAAGTATGTTGAGCTGTTTCTTATTTCTCTTAAGTTTTTCCAGTAATTAAATAAAACTAGCTCAATATAGCACACACACAAGAGCACAGTGATTGTGTGTTTCGTCTTTATATATTGTCTATAATATGAACAGGAAAACACAGGAAATTTTTTTCCAGATTTGAGTGGCAACACTGTTAAATATGCAGTTATAGGCATAATGAAAAACTTTTACATTATTGGAAAATCTAAAAAAAATTTTTTACATCAAAAGTAAAATTATTTGAAATTCTAAGAGGAATAACATAAAATATATGTTTGTATTTTCTTAGAAACTTGTTATTTTATTGACGCTTTTATATAACTTTTAAAGGGTTACAACAAACCTGCAGCTTATATTGGTACACAAGGACCTTTGCCTTCTACATTTGATGACTATTGGCGTATGATTTGGGAGCAAAGAGTTCATATAATTGTCATGATAACAAATTTAGTTGAAAGAGGCAGAGTGAGTTTACTTTATTCCATTATTATTTTAATGATATCATTGTAAAGTTTTATTTTATGAAACATTTTAAAAGTTATTCCAATAACAACTGTTTATAAAACTAATGCATTTTTCGCAGTTGTCTCTTGTATGGAACAGTTCTAATCTTTTCTTTATTTTTCACAAACTTATTAAGAATTAAGAATATTGTTTGATTAATTATAATTTTTTGTTTGGCAGGCATTAAAATTTTAATTGTAGTTTAAATTTAGAATGGATAATTTTTGTGATTGTAGCGCTCCTGCCAAATGAGTGGCACAAATAAATGAAATAACCCTTTAAGTCCCAATTTATATTTGAAGACCTTTAATTTTTTTTGTCTTTTAAAATTGACAATGAGCTATATTTTATTTTAATTTCCTCATAATAAGAAACCAGTCTACTTTTCTGCTGCATTATTTTGCTTTTTCTAATTTTTATAAAAATATAATGGTTATTTATGTAAGAGATAAACTTATTCTGCTAATATATGATTATAAAAACTGTTTATAGCATTTAATTTATTGCTTTATAAAATTTTGAGAAAAATGCTGAACTTGGCTGCAAACCTATTTGATTTTGTATATAATACATTTAGTTATATATTTTTCCTGATAATTTTTGTTTTACTACTTATGTCTTTTTTTTCCTTATAACTATTTACAATTGTGCATCAAAATTAAATTAATTTTGTTTGATGATTATAAAGTGAGCTTGCCTTTTTTTGCATGAAAAGCTGTCTTGTTTATTTTTCGTTGGTATTTATACAGAATTTAATGAGGATATCTTACTTAGAATCTCTCTTCATTCCAAATTTTATCTTCATTTCGAAGTTGTAACTGAGATGTTTTTTTTATTGCTGAAGTTTATTTCATTATTTTTGATCTTCTTAAGGATCATCTCATGAAATATCAGCTTTTATGAATTATTTCATTGAGATTTTAGTGATTAATAAGTGTTCTTCTTTTCGAAGTTGTAACTGAGATGTTTTTTTTCTTCAAAATATTGATTACTGAAGTTTATTTCATTATTTTTGATCTTCTTTTGGATCATCTCATGGAATATCAGCTTTTATGAATTATTTCATTGAGATTTTAGTGATCAATAAGTGTTTTTTGTGTAACCATTTTTTCTTTCTTACAAAGTTTATTTTCTGTATATATTACTAACTTGAAAGAGAGTCTAAGTAATTTAATGTTTCAGTTCTGATTCTTGGTTTTTTTGATAAAGAAAATTTTTTATTTGAATATTTATTCAAACATAGAAAAGTTGCCATTCTACGATTTAAAAAAATTAATATTCATTATTTTTTCACGTAAATCAAAGTAGCAAAATTTTTAAAAGTTTTTTTTTCCAATTGAGAAATCATTAAAAATTGAAATGCATTTACATGGAGGACTCTGGGAGCACTTGCTTTTAAAACCTTTTTGTTATGGTAAATTTAGCTAGATACTTTGCCGTTTTCTTTTTTTTTTCATTCTTGTTTGCTAGCATTACATTCTTGTTTGCTAGCAGTGTTATGCATATGAATTAGCATTCCTTTATTAAATTAATCTGTTCTTTTGCTTTGTTACTTTTAAAGAGTTATTGTAGTTTTGCACTACATTTCGCATCAAATTAAATTGTTGTTGTCTTAGGGGCTACAATTTGCAATATAGCATTAAAATTTTTAATTTGTTAGTTTTTAGTTATTTTTATTGAAAATAATTATTACAAAATGAAATTTTTAAAAGAATTTCAAATTATTGAGATTTTTTAGTATTTGGATTTTTACAACAATTTTTTTGCCGTTTTAAAATTAAGAAAAAATGTGTTATGTTCATTATAACTAATGATTAGTTTCAAAAACTTTTAGTTTAATTTTTAAGTTGTAGCAAAATCAGAAAGAAGAATAAAAAATTAAGTTTGGACAGAAAATAAACTTAGGTTGTAAGATAATAAATTTTTTTTTCCATCTTTACTTTAAAATATTATCAACCACCTCAAAAATTGTGTTAAATTTCTTTATTTTTTATTATGTTTCAAAAACAAAATTGCTTAAAATTAGTTTATTTGTCTATTATTAGTTTATCTATTTTAGAAGAAGATAGATTTTTTTACCTCTTTTTTAAAAAATTGTTGTAGTACTAAATTTTGTTTTTTAAAGAAACTAATAAATTAAAATTATTTTATTTTTTTTTAAAGTTTATTTTTATTGTTGAATCAGGTATTCTGACCCAATGTTGACTGCAATATTTTCTAGAGTGATAAGTAGAATTATTCTATTCACAAAAAATTAGTTATGGTATGTAGAAGGAGATTTTTTGTGCTTGGGATTCTCAGCATGATAAACCTTGTCTCTAGTTTGCTTTTTTTCAAGGCAAGAGCAGATATCTTTTAAAATCTAAGCAAATTAGAACTATTTGCATGAATAATTCATAACTATTAACAACTTCATTATATGGCATAGGCTATTATGCACAGCCATGTAAAATATAGGTTATATACGAACAATTAAAAATTCGTTGTATCATTTTGTGGCATGTTCAAAGATTTTTCCATGTTAATTATATTGAAATTCATCTTAATTCTAAACTCTATGAAAGTAATCTTATTTAGCAATTCCTTTTCATGAAATAGTGGTTTAATTTTTGATCCTCCTTATTCATTCATCATTAAATGCGCTTACTAATTTACTTTTATAAATATTTGCTTCCTTACCTGCTTGCCATAAATAGCTTTTTGTCATAGACAAAAATGCTATCATTACTCATTGTGCAATTCAGATGCATTAAAAATGCAAACAGGATTTTTTTTAAATGTTAAGTGATGAAATGTCTATGCACTAGTCTCATGCTGTTTAAAAAATAGTTCTTAAACATCATAAGCTATTTTCTGGGACTTAAAGTGCTTTGTAAACCTCACTTTGGCAAGAGAGCAGAAAGTGGTTTATTGACTGTCACTTATTTTGGCACATGCTCTCTTTGCATGCCAGCATGAACCTAGTCCTTCTGATTGGGATGATGCAGTAAGTATTTCATTTTATTTTCTTTTTTGTTGAACATTATTTAAGTTTTATACACCAATTTTAATTTTTCTTGTATACTTTTTTTTCAAAAAAAGGTTTGCAGTAAATTAGTGCCAAGTAATAACCTTAAATTATTTTTCATTAAAGTACTTGGGGCTTAAAGAGTTGTTTATTATTATGCCGACATAGAGATTCATATTCACGTGATTTAAAAGCCTCATATCGGGACTCATATTCTCTCAATTTAAGATCATGCATGTGATTCATATTCATATATTCATACAATTTTAAAATTAATCATCGGGATTTATTATCACATGGTTTACAAGTTTAAAAATCTAACTTTTTTGTCAAATTTTTGTTTATATATATATATATTCCGTTTTTTTTTTTTTTTTTTTTTTTTTTTTTTTTTTTTTTTTTTTTTTTTTTTTTTTTTT